GGGTTTGGTTTGGGGGCGTGGGGTAAGGGATTAGGGTTATATACGGGGTGGGGAAATGATCCTGGGCCGTTAGATCATCCAAGATCAACGGCCAGTATCAATTTTTTAGCAGGGGACGACTCCGTTTGGTTAAACAGGGAGTCCGGTTAGACTGGGTAACGGGTCGGGTACAGGGAACGGGTAGTAAAGGGTTAATCCTGGCCGTTGATCAATTTGAGATCAACGGCCCAGATAAAGTGTGACCAAAACGACGTTGTTTGGACGTCTCTGAGGTGGGTTGACTTGGACCGGGTAGAGACAGTGTTTTGGGCCTGATTTTTTGGGTCCAATTAAGCGGCCCAGTTCCGATTTTCTTCCTTATTTCACTTGTTTTCTTTTTTTCTTCTTTTAATTAACAATTAACAAAAATTCTAAAATAAGTTGTAAAACCTACAAAATATTAATTAACTCTTAATTAATAATTAACACACTAGACCAAATATCAATTAAAACAAAAATCACACAATTGTACATTAAATGACAACAGTACAACAAATACGTATTTTTTTGTAATTTTCTTTCTTTTAAAATCAAAACATGGTTCAGTTAATTCCTAAGTGCACAATTAAATCCCAAAATGTGCATGCAACATATATTTTTGTATATTTTTTTAATTAATTAAACAAGATAAATATTTACGGACAAAGCACGAGTAATTATCCACAGATGTCGCGCAAATTCTTAAAACTGTACCCAAATGACATTTGTTTTATTTTTCGATTTCTTTGGAGTAATTTTCGTGAAGCAAAAATCACGTGCTCACAAGAGTGACCTACTAAGCCCCAATATGTTTGGAAAAAGAAGGGGTGTAGACCATCTGGTCCCTGTGCCTTAAAAGGCTTGAAAGAGTAAATAGCTTGCTTGACTTCAATATCTAGAGGGGTTTATCAAGGTTTTGCAAGTTTATAACATGCTGAGTGACATTTGTTAGGGGGCTAACTCTACTAGACTTAACATGAGAAGTTGCGAAAATGTTGGAGAAGTAACATGGGTTGTTACTAAATTAGGGTCATTTATCCAATTTCCTTCATTATCTTTGAAATAGTTAATTTTATTCCTTCTTTTCCTATTAGTAGCCATTATGTGATAAAACTTAGTGTTGGCATCACCTTCATTCAACCAATTAATTCTTGACCGTAATTTCCAATAGTCTTCCTCTGTGAGTAATAAATCATTAAAATCTTTTTTGAGGCTCAAATGTAGTTCTTGTAAAAAAGTACTATAAGGGTAGTGGTTGGAGTTTTCTATTCCTTGAATCCGGGCTAAAAATTTTCTTTTTTTCCCCATGATATCACCAAAAGTAAGATGTTTCCATTGTATTACTTTATCTTTAAAGGAGGTACTATCCTTAATAAAGTCATTAGTACTCCAGTTATTTTGAACTAGAGAATTGAAGGACGGGTGCTTGCACCAATATGTTTCCAGTCGAAAAGGAGGTTTATAAAGGGTATTTCTTTTGTGGATTAATTCAACTAGAATGGGGTTATGATCCGAATGTGTTCTAGGTATGTGAATAATGGAGCTTTTTGGAAATAAATTAATCCAATCCTCATTTCCAAATACCTTGTCCAATCTTTCCATTATCAAACCTCTATTTTTGTGTCTAAGATTTGACCAAGTATATTTTGAACCTTTGTACCCTAGATCAATTAGATTACAATGGTTAATTTTTGACCAAAGGAACTTAGCTCTACTATATCTAATAGGATTACCACCAAAATTTTCATTTGAACTAAGGATATCATTAAAGTCACCTCCTAAAAGCCAAGGTCCCTTAAAGCTCTCACTAAGACTTTGAATATTGTCCCACATTTTATTACAACATAAAATATTAGTGCTAGCATAAACAATACTAAGAAGCCATTTTTGGCGGATAGGGTTTACCTCAATAGTGGCATGGATTTCTTGATCTCTACGTACAAAGTTTTGCACAGTGACCATTTCGTGATTGTATAGCACAACAATTCCTCCAGCTTGTCCCTCCGCTGGGACTTCCACGAACTCAGTAAAACCATAATCATCCAAAAGCTCCAAATGGTTACCCATCCTAGTGTCTAACAAAGCTACTAAGCAAGGCCTGTGAGTGTCCACCATGTCGCTAAAGTTTCTTCTAAAGGTGTCATTATTTCCTCCTCTAATGTTCCAAATAATGATATTGGTTGGCCTATTCATGGATAAGTTGAGGTTTTGGTTGGCTGGATTCCCATTTTCTCTTACCTCCCCCATCACCGGATTCCTCCGAAGAGACGGGACAAGGATCATAGCTCGATTTCCTACGGTTGGATTGAGGAGGTCGTATGTCCATCGAGCATTTGTAAAATACCAATGGGAAACTGAGCACATGCCTCTTCTCTTGCCCCTCCGAAAAGAGAAACACTTTTACCCCGTCTAGTCTTGAGATTTCTAGGACTCGTTCTAAGAGGAGGTTCAGTGGCTCTTCCTCTTCTCCCATTGCTTCCTCCACTGGTTCTTGGATATTTTCTGGATGGTAGGGATGGGGGTGGTGGTGGAGTTGGAGTTGCTTGGGGTGGCTGTGGCTGCTCCCATGGTAAGAGAATGGGGTTTAGTTGGGAGATGTTCTCCAGCATGAAGAAAGGCATATCCATTAGGGCATTCTGTGGGTATATTGGATTGAAATGGGGTGGGAGGTTCCATTGGTTCCTCATTGCATGGACCAACTGTGGGTTCACTGACGGGGCTAGGGGTTGAAGTATATTGTTTAGCCAAGCTTGGTTCAAGTAGTTTTTCATAGCCAACCTCATGCCCTCTGTCACTAGTTGGGCTAGATATTGAGTGTCGTGTAGTATGATCACAGTGTCTTGGCCATTCACTTGGATGTTGAACGAGCATGCATGTCCCATGAGGCCCATCTCCATCCATGAGACAGGTTGGTAATTTTGAGCTTGGGGTGGTTGGACATAGATGATCTGGGGATTGACTGGTTGAGGGTTGGGTAGTGGTAGATTTTCCATTGTTAATCTTGTTTGTCGAAGAATTTGGAGAAGCCTTTGTCTTCTCCGGCTGGCTGAAGCAATGGTTGGCATCTTGAGTATCCACACTATTAATTAGGTCTAGGGCAGGCGTGGGGGTGTGACTCTTGGATGATTGTTGGGGATTGGTTGGGGGGCTAATAATTGGAAAGAGCTTTTGTAGGTTTTGTGCTTCCTCAAGGGGAGTGTTTATAGGGTGGCTTTCCAATTCTTTTGCGTGTGGGGGTTCATTGGCCATTTGGCAAGATGTTTCTAAATCAATGGCCATTTGGCTAACATGCTTTGGGAGGTGATGGTAGTCGGATCTTGGTAATAGATTTTGCTTGGGTGAGTGGTTAACAAATGCTTGATTACTTTCGTCTCCTCTAGGGAGGGTAGAGTTAGTAGTTGTACCTTGTTTTTTAGTAGGGGTAGAAAAGTCATTTCTTGAGTTTTTTTTGCATGGCCAACTTTGCCAAATGTTGCGTAGGATTAGTGTTGCTTGCCACGTTTTTTTGTTCTATGGCAGAATTAGTAGCTAATTTAGACAATTGTTCATTAGTGAGGTTTTTAGTAATAGAGGAAGCTTGATTATTTTTAAGAGCATAGGTGGTTTCATTCAAAACCATTAGCTGGTCACTAGGTAATTCCTTAATAGGATAATTATTAGTGTTAATAGAGGTCTGTTTATTGGTTTCATTAGTGGTTTCATCCAAAACCATTAGCTCGTCGTCTAGAATAGAATAGTGGTTTTCCATGGGCAAATTTAGTTGGTCTCTAAGCATAGAAGGAGGAGAATGCATAGACTGATTAACATTTTTAGATATGTATTAAAAAAATTTAGTATCCAAATACTTACCCGTGGTAGCATTGAAAAGCTTAACAGGAATACCTGGGCCAGTGTTTTGTTTATCCGGGATGGGGTATCTTGGGGTGGCTTTCATAGTATTTTGTTTCTTTTTTTAAAAAGAAACTGTTGTCCAGACTTCTTGATCACCTTCCTTTGAGGATGGAGGGTCCTTGCATGTAATTTCATTTGGAATGTTCTTATTGAGTTGAAGAAAAAATGGGCATTTTTGTGCTATATGTCCTAGTCTGCCGCATTTTGTACAAAGGAAGTTCTCCCCTTCATAATGGATTGTTTGCTTGTGATGGCCAACATAGATGGAAGGTTGGACTGGCATGTCAAGAGATAATTCCACACATAGTCTTGCATAGCGACCACGGAGAGTTGTTGATGTACATACGTCTATTTTTAGTAGCCGACCAATTGCATTACCAATTTTTTCCAAAATTTTTGCATCATAAAATTCAGTGGGTAACCGAGGAAGTCTAATCCAAACAGCTGATTTGGTGACCCTCTCTTTAGTTGCAACAAAATTTGGTTTCCAATGGATAATGGAGAGGAAATATCCATTTATAAACCAAGGTCCTTGTTGCATAGCTTTTTCCATGTTCTCCTTTTTTTTTAATTTTATGATGTAGTAGTCCATTCCTAAGTCAATTAGTTGGAAGTCCTCAGATGGCTTCCAAAGTTCCTGAATTTTTTTCTTTAGGTAGTGATGTAGCATACGTTTGCCCACCAATTTGATGATGATAGCATGCTTCCATGGCTCATAGATGCGTGTTTTATCCTCAGGGGAAAGTGAGATACACTTAATACCTTCTGAGATTGGCAAGAGGGATTGAGTATTTGATTGATCATCTTGATCCATTAATATGGAGCTTTTGTCATGATCATTTCCTAGGTTTGCAAACAACATCGGATCTTGAGTGATGAGCATGTCTTTGAAGCTAGGTTTGGTGAATTTTGGATCAATATCTGGGGGTTTTGGGGGGATTGAATTATCTTGTTGTTGATCATAGGTTTGGGGTTCCATAACAAGGAAAGAAGAATTCCACTGTTGAAGTCAATCCTCTTGATTTTTTTATTAATAACTAGTTGTTGCGTACATAACCTTCATAGTCTTAAAATAAAATTTTATATGATATCTTTAATTTTAAAAGAATGGTAAAAATTAGAAACAAAAATGAAAAGAAAAAACTTTAATTAGTAAGGGATAATTTAGAAAATATAAATTTATGGTGATGATAGTTTTGTCTTGAATAAATTAATTTTTCACTTTTGCTTCTGCTTCTTGGAAGAAGCAAAAATTTTCTACTTCTTTCCAAAAGCAGAAAAATTACTTCGGCTGCTGGCCAAAAGTACTTTTCGGTATTGGCCAAACAACTTAAATTTTTTTAAAAGTACTTTTTTGAAGGAAAAAAAAATACTTTTGGCATCTCAAAAACTTGGCCAAACAAGTTCTAAATCAATTTCAGCACTTAAAAATATTTTTTAGCACCTAATACTTATCAGCTAATCCAAACAAGCTCTAAGTTGTCAGCTTAGGGAGTGCCCATGAATTGTATCGAGGGCAAAACTGACATAACACAATGAAGTTTTAACCCTGGTTCCCGTACACGATCGAGAACCTTTGGGTACTCACATAAGAAGATCAAATTCCCCAAATTCCGACCGACATCTGCATCAAGCTCAGACCAACGGTTTCGCTTCGCCGGTAACTGACTCCTTTTCCGTCACCCTCCTGTCCTTTATCCGCTGATCCCCTATCTCTCTTCTTCCCCCATCTGAAGCCCATTTGGTAGTTGCTATTTATCCGGGCAATACGTTTCCTATTCCTAATATGTTTATTATTACTATTAATTTTTATTTTTATTAATGGGTCGAGGCCTAAATTTATCCAATTCTGGTTTGGCTTAGGATTTACGCCTCCCCCTACTTATTCTTCTATATATACCCACACCCACCCTACCTTATACTATTCAATTTCTGATACAGCACTTTGTGATTCAAAGCTCTTGCCTTTTTTCACAGGATTTTCAATTCTCGACAATCAACATCATCATGCTGAATGGTAAGTCTTTTTTGGAGTTCTAATTTTGTGATTAATTCTTAGAAAGCTTAACACTTTATGTTATGGCGTTGGCACTGTTGTGTGACTAAACCCCAGAATGGTGTATATCCATTGCTAGTAGAGTCCTTTAGCATTAGAAATTGCCCATCATTCTCACTAATGATAGACACAAATACTTAGGGCCATTGAAATCCATAGAAAATCAAATCGTAGATTTAAGGTTGAGCAAAGGCCCGTGTGGTAAAATTTAATAAGGGAAGGAATGTGAATAGTTTTCAAATTTTTTTCACTTTAGGCCTATTGAAGTAGTTGTTGGTTTGTCTACTTGGATAAGACTTTGGAGTTGAGAGGTTGAAGTATTATATATTAGCTGGTTTGTTCAATTTGGAGTCGATAAGTTGGTCCAGTTGCATCGCCAATCTACTAACAAAGTGACAGTGAGGTTGAAGTATTAGCTGCTTTGTGTAAAAGTAGGCTCGAGTCCAACTTGGACGCCAGACATGATTTGTCCCGTCTATTGACACTCCTAGCATGCATCAAATTATATATCATATGTATTTGCATTCTGCTTCAATAATTAGCTGTCAGCATCATATATATGTATTTGCATTCTGCTTCACAACAATTCTTGCTTGCACTAATCTAGTTGTTCATCATCATGTCAGCACCCGCTCGTCTTATCGCTTTTGCAGCAAAGCATTTAGCTTCTAGCCCGAGCAAAGGTGGTGCCCTGCATCCCTTATTCCACCAACCCGTCCTCAAAATGGCACAGGTAAACGAATTAAGTATTATGTATTTATATATGAGAAAAACTTGTAGAAAGTTTTAAAAGAATTTTATTTTGTTAGATAGGCCAGAAGTATTAACACTTCCTTTTATCTCTTTTTCTGGAATTAGAGAATGCGCATCGACCTTGTTGATGAGAAGAAAGCAATTGAGGCAGCTGTCCATTATCTCCTTTGCTTCACGGTATGCAGAATTGATTGTCATTGATGTATATATACTTTCAAATTTTAGCAAACAACAACATTTAGTGAGCGGTTGTAGGATCTTGTATCTGCCGCCTCAACTTCACACAGATTCCTATCAATAGCTTGACATGATTTATTACTTCTTTTTTTGTTTAGATGATAGGTGCCGCAGGTGTGGGTTTGGTCTATGAACACAAATGTTCTTCCTACCGGCAGAAGCAAACTCGCTTTGAAATAGAGCAAATTTTGCAAAAACACATGCAAGGAATCTCGCAAAGGATGGAAAAAGCCCACCAAGAAATCGATCAAATCAGGCATGAATATCAAGAAATCAATCAAGTCAGGCATGGATTTTCAATTATCAACCCCGTGAGAGGTAGAGCAAGAGTTTTACCTTTCGTGTATCTAGCTGGCCTTCAAAAAAATGATAAAACCATTTGAGACACTCGCTATTATTAACTGTTAGTGTAGATTAATTGCATCTTCTTGCATTGATTTGTTAAAAGAAGAAAACTGGTTATTTTTTATGTCTTACATTTTATAATTGTGACAGACGATGAGCGTGGATGGAGCTCTGGTCAAGGCGATTAACTTGGAAAAATTTGACTGAGGGCAGTTGAGGCTCGACTATATAAACTCTGGTTGACGAAGGTAGCGAAGGAGAGGAGATGGTTAATACTTCTCGCTATAATTAGCATTGTAATTTCTGGTTATTATATTTATATGTACACTAATGAAACCTTAAGAGATTACTAGCGTTGAGGCTGATTTTGTTTTCACTTCCATTTAGCTTGCTCATTACCTCTTGTGTGTTATACTATTTCCTCTCTCGTATTTACTGAGTTATTTAAACAACTCCCCTTCCTCTTTATTTGCGGTTCTGTTCTTGAAAAATGCTGCTGTTCCTTGTGAGTTTGTAATATTTTACATGCTTTTACTTCCTCTAAATAAAAGAAAATATGACCCTAACTCTTGACTATTCTTATTTTTTTCACTTTTATAAACCAAAGTTTGTTGCCTCTAAAGGGCGCTTGAACTTTCTCTCTGGGAAATGGATCCCCAACCCTATGAACAACAACACACAATACCATCCAAACCCCCACATATTGAGCAAAACATGATCAAACCTAGCTTCAAAGATATGCTAACCACTTCAAACCCTTTACTCTTCACTTCTATTGAAAATCAACCAAACATGGACCTCCCAATTATAGACTCAAAAGAACAAGTAGTTGATCAATCAACCTTAATGACTTCAAAGGGCATCAAGTTCATAACTCTCTAATGAGGAGAAGGTACGAATCTATGAGCCATGGAGAAATTCCATCATTGTGAAGCTAGCGGGCAAACGAATGTTACACCACGATCTAAAGAGAAAAATTCAAGAATTATGGAGACCAACTAAAGATTTTCAATTGATCGACCTTGGCGTAGACTACTACATAATTAAATTCAAGAAAAAGGAAAATATGGATATGGCAATACATCAAGGCCCTTGGTTCATTAACGGACATTTTCTCTCCATTACAAGATGGAAGCCAAACTTTGTTGCCACTCAAGAGAAAGTCACAAACTCAGCAGTATGGATTAGACTTCCCCAATTACCTACAGAATTTTACGATGGAAAAATTCTAGAAAACATTGGTAATGCAATTGGCCGGCTACTAAAAATAGATGTTTGCACATCAACAACTGTGAGAGGTCGTTATGCATGATTATGTGTGGAGCTACCGTTGGAACTAGAATTCCCTCTCCCGAGTTCAATCCTAGATTCGCAGATAGTATTCAATTGGTGATCAAGCAATCAAATAATTAAGCGCAAGATTGAATAAATAAACTAATATAATAAAATAATAAGAACAATCTAAGCTTCAAACTACAACGTTCATGGGTTCATCCCGAGTAATATTACTACGAGGATAATCACCAAAGCAACCAAAAGCTTTATGATGCCCCTTATGCGTCTTGGCGTGAATTCCCATTCTCGCTGAATGAGGCAATTTTCAATGAATTTAAGGTATAAATGTTATTTTAAGCAGTATAATTATTTATAATTATGATATTTCCATATAATATTTAACTTTTGAAATAAAAAGCAAGTGTGTATGGGAATACCTCTATAACGCGGACGTGGCTGCAAATTTTCATCTCAAAGCTCGCAAGCGGTTGTCGCATACTTTCTCCAAAGCTAGACAGAGGAACCAGAAGCGTGACTGGTTGCTTCAGAATTTATAGGATGATTTGCAAAGGCAATGGCTTACTGCAGAGTTCTTACAGAAGAGCGAAAAAGGAAAGAAAGCTCGCGCATCTGAGAAGGGAGGATCCTTGCACACTGGAGGTGCGATCAACCTTGGGACAATAAAAAGAAGAATGGTACGTAATTGCTTAATTTATTTTAATTTTCAAAGTATATCTATTCTATTTATTAATTAAAATTTATGAGTTTATAGGAAAAGAAGTTGGGAGACTCATATTGTGAAGAAAAAGAAGAAAGAGACGGATCAAGAAAGGTGGGTCGAGGGACGAGCCTCGACTGTACATGTAAGTTTTCACTTTTCATTAAGTATTTTCATTTACTTTTATATAAATTTTGAAATACTAATTCGATTTACTTTTTCTTATAGGATCGCTTCACAACTGAAGTTGAGGAATTCATACGCAGCCAACCACCCAATGAGTCGAGCGTGCCAATCCAACTTTCGGACGAGGATGCTGAAAGACTATGGACGCAGGCTGCAGGCGGTCCAAAATGGGGGAAGGTATACGGCCTTCCTATTAAGAAATTCCATCGCTATAGGTGTGGAATGCAAGGAATAGGGACTTCCTCGCAAGCCGAACTACTTGATGGGGAGAGCCTCTCCGCTATGCGGGAGACTGTGAAAAAGTTCACATCCGAGCTAGAAGCGTCCAAGGAAAGAGAAAGGCTTAGAGATGCTCATTACATTGGCGTGGTCACTCAGTGCCAAGGCATGCAAGAGCAGATCAAAACTCTCCTAGCTTCTGGATCTTTTCCGATTCCCCGGTCTCGGCCATCATCGCCAGAGGCTGGCCGTCCCCGTGCTCGTTCCTCCCGTCCTCCCCGTGATCGCTCTTCCCGTCCTCGACAAGTAGACCCTTCTCAATACCGTCATGATGATGAAAGTTCATCAGACGGTGATGATAATGATGTACAAAACACTGATTGACTTTTAGACAATTTGAACTAGACAAATACACTCGGTTTTCGATTGGGTTGTAATAAGAGTTAACTTAGTTTGGTAGTTCTATTGAACTTTACACTTTGTTGGTTTTAATGTAGCTTTTAATGTTGTTTGTGTGTTGTTGTTGTTGGGTTGTTGTTTGGTATTGTTGTTGGAATTGTTGTTGTTGTTGCTTGTTAGGGTTTTGGTATGACTGGCAGGTGGTGTAGCTGCCAAAACGGACAGTTTCTGCCAAAATAATACACAGAAAAGCGACCAACTTTGGTCTCTATTTGGTCGCTTTTCATTTAAAAAAAATAATTTTCTGGAGAATAGCGACCAACGTTGGTCGCTATTTACCCAGATTTCTAAAAAAAAGCGACCAGACTTGGTCGCTATTCCATTAAAAAAATATAATTTCTGGTAATATAGCGACCAAAGTTGGTCGCTTATCTTTAAAAAATAAATTAAATTCATGAATTTAGCGACCAACCTTGGTCGCTATTTTAATAAAAAAAAAAAAAAGCGACCAACCTTGGTCTTTATTTTCTAGATTTTAAAATATAATATTTGGATTAGAGACCACAGTTGGTCGCTTTTTTTTTAATGATTAATAATAAATAAATAAAAAAAAATTTTATATTTAGAGACCAACTTTGGTCGCCAAATTTATAATATTAAATTAATAAAGCGACCAAAGTTGGTCCCTATAGTCAAAACCCGAAATATTTGGTCCATTTAGCTTAGAGACCAAAGTTGGTCGCTAAATTAGCGACCAACTTTGGTCCCTAAATAAAAGAGACCATCAATATAGCTACCAGGCTTGTTTGGTCGTTTTTTGGTCGCGTTTTGACCTATAAGCGACCAACTTTGGTCGCTTTTTGTGGTCACTTTTTTTCGAATTTCTAGTAGTGTTGTGGTCTCACAAAATTTAATGCGCAGAAATGATTATGATTGGATCTCGAATTATTAGATATGTGGTCACACAAACTTTATATGCAGTTATGCACAATGCAATGAATAATGATTATGATTCGAATATCTAATAATTCGAGATCCAATCAAGAGGGGTTGCTCTGATGGTAAGCAACCTCCACTTCCAACCAAGAGGTTGTGAGTTCGAATCTTCCCAAGAGAAAGGTGGGAAGTTCTTGGAGGGAAGGATGTCGGGGGTCTATTTGGAAACAGAGGTAAGGTCTGCGTACACACTACCCTCCCCAGACCCCACTAAGTGGGATTATACTGGATCGTTGTTAAGCAGTGTAATTACTTTAAACATAAGATATCCATTGATACCTCATCACAGAAATTAACGCGATATATGAATCCCTATGTTTACATGTGACAAAATAACAAATTATCCTTTTTTTAAATATCTATTTCTTTCGGTCCATTTTAATTAATTTTTTAATTGTTTTCATAAATATTACGGAATCCACATTTTAGTATTAATTAACAATAGAAATTACCATTTTAACCTTAATTTGTTCATAGAAATATACTAAATACCCCTAGACTTTTTACTCCAAGGCAATTTTGAAAAAAAAAAGTTAATTCCTTCTTGATATCTTAAAAAATCAAATATTGTGTGGACCATAAAAAATAACCAAAAAATAAATTAAAGTGGACAGAAGAGAGTACTAATTTAACTACAGTAGAGTTTCGTGTTTGTGGGATATTCCAATGTAAATTTGGAGTTTTAATTTATTTTAAAATGTACAATTGACAGAATTTTAATTTCATTACCCGTTTTTGCATCGTAAGCTCAAACGTCATGCTTGTTTAGTCTCATTCAACAATTAGTAGCTAGGTTGATCAAACATGTTACTTATCATTTTATTTCTACCCATAAATTAAACCTCTATATTGGAAGCTATGGGAAATTATGCTATAGTCCCTCGAAGGAGAGACAGCAAGTTTAACACCATGTGATTTAAATTCTTAATTAACTATAATACCAACCCTAGTTTTCACATATGCATATAGAACTGAAATCCTGAAATTTTCTTTGACTTTTGGGTTGCATGAACCTGCATACAACTCTTGAAATATTCAAAAGTTTAAACAACGAAATTTTGACTTTTTCTTGTCGATGAACCTCCACTTATCAAGTTGATAATCTAATATTGATAATTAGATTCAACTTGTCCAAACCTTCAGTAGAAAGATAAAAAAGAAAAGTTTAGAGACAATTTGTAAATCTTGGCTAAACCTTGTATATTCTTTCTTGACGAAAAAGGGGTATTATCACTTTTAGTCCGCGACAGAAACTATTTATATTCGATAGCAGGAAAGTGTATAAAATTTGTATATATATATATATATATATATACAAAAAATATATTTTTCGGCTATTATTTTGAGAACAACTAAACAATATCATTTTCCGACGAAAAATGGCTAAAACCCCGCCGTGTTAGTTCTAAAAACATGCAATATTTGAAATTTAATTGACCTATTTCGGACATTATTAAACGGTTGATAGGATTGTTTGCGTGGATTTTGACTTATAAGGGGTCAAAAGAAGACTCAACTCACTATGTACCAGTTTCGGTCTGCTTGGTTTAATACCTACTAAGAAGCTCAAAATGATATCGTAAAGGGTTAAACAAGGTATGTATGGATAAAACCCCGTCTTTTAGAAATTGAGCTCTATCGATGCTTGTGTAAATGTGGTAAGACTGAACTTTGG